CTTGGCATATCCATTATGCAAATGTTCGGTCTTGAAAAGCCGATGTTATATAACGCATGACTCAAAAGCACAGAATTTTTTATCGTTATCTCGAATTTACGATTCCTAAGTATTAGGTTGGTCCGAAAGTTCTGTCCCACCATTTTCAAAAATTCGTAACTTCTTCCTAACACAATGTTTTTGCAAGAATAAAACCATATTGAAAACAGCAATTCATGTACTTTTCGAAAACTGCCTTGGCTGCTATCCACTAAGCTCTGAATGCAGAGAAAAAATTGGAAAAAAGAAATCACTTCAATTTCGAAATTTTTAAGCAAGCCCGTTGAAAAATCCAAAACTGCGCCATAAAATCCAAAACAGGCAGTAACCTAGGTTTTTTGATTTCCTTTTCTAGCTGAGCGAGATTCGCGCTGATCGAGCCCTTTTGAAAGAAGTTATGATTTTCAAGAAAAAATGCCAAAAAATCAGTTTCTCAAGAAAATTGATTTTTTGACATTTTTTTCAAAAAATCATAACTTCTCGGAAAACAGCTAGATCAGCGCGAACTTTGCTCAGCCAGAAAGAGGGGGTAAAATAGTCTAGGAAACTGGCTGTTTTGGATTTTATGGCACAGTTCTAGATTTTTCAACGGGCTTGCTCAAAAATTCCGAACTCGAAGTGATTTCGTTTTCCCAATTTTATCTCTGCTTTCAGAGCTTATTAGAGAGCAGCCAAGGTAGTATTAGAAAGTGCATGAATTGCTGTTTTCAATGTGGTTTTACCCTTGCAAAAACATTGTGTTAGGAAGAAGTTACGATTTTTTCAAAATGGTGGGACAGAACTTTCGGACCAACCTAATAATATATTGCAAAGTGTTTTCAATATTTATATTTCAATATTCGGATTTGTAGCACCAATATAATTACTTGTTTCATATACCCTGACATGAGATTACGCTAGCAGCTTCCAGAATAGTTTTTGTGTCAATGAGAATCAAAAAATGTTGCAAATAAAAGTAAGAACAGCTCCGAAACCCTCATAACAAACTTTTTAAGTTTTTAGAAATTTTTGACTATGGAACTTACTCCAATCGAACGCACTGGAAGTTGCTAGAGTAATCTAAAGTAATATAGCTTACTTTCGCACTTGTTAGGGAAACAAGATAATAACGTCAATTCCCAAAATCTAATAGAGTTGAACGCGAAAGAATGATGTGCCGCGAACATTAGGGGAGATAGTTCAAAAAGCATTACGTTAGCATGGTTTTATTATGTACATACAAATATCGACAAAAGTTTCTGCATTATTTGAAAGCTCTAATTTTCCTCCTTTATTCATCGTACAACATTCTGTTCATCTAATAAATTTACTGACTTCAGAAAAGCCGATCGGGATGACTTAAAATGCTTCAAGTATGCTTTCACGCCGCTCTAGCTGTTCATCTACGCAAAATTGCAATGTTTTGCATGGATTTGTGACTTTAAAAACCGTTTGCATCTCTGCCGTATACAATTAATTTCAAACAGAGTATGCATGTTTTGAAATGAGAAGATTCCGAAGGCCTTTTCTGTCGCTGATTTACATAACTGTATTTTTCAAAATTTGAATCTGATGTGCTTGTAAAAGAGAGATTTAAAGATTGCTGGCAGGTTTTCATAGATGACAGCGTCTATTTTATATAGTTTACCAAAGGACAGTAAACAAAGGCGAAGTATTTTCGATCAATTGTTAACCGAAGACACATTACGTTCTGACTTGTAACAGTTGATGAAAGTGCGGGTGCTATTGTAGGTTATAGACCACGAGATTATTTCGACGATCATTTTACTATGCACGTCCTGTACCGTGCAGCGTTGTTGCCAAAACGCTTATGCAAAGAAAATCACAATACCGTGGAGTGTGAAACATTTCAGTACATTGGCATAACAAGCTACTGCCGAACGAAAGCGCAAAGCAGCAGAGCACACGCAAACGCGGCTCGGTATTTCACAGTTGTGAACCTGGTGCCTCATGCCTCTGCAGCTAACAATACCGCGTTTGCGCTCCCAGACTTTACGCTTTAGACCAGCAGTAGGTTAAAAGATAAAAAAAAGTTAATCAGACTTTAGCTAAGCACATACTGAGAACTCAGCCTATCCGTAAACCAGGAAAGCTAAGAATGATCGACACATGCAGATCCTTTATGGCATCATAAAGTGATTAAGTTTCAAGCGTTCAAAGTGCTCTATCTTATTCGTGAAACATTTCTTTCTTTCCATTTCAAAAATAATACCTTGATGGCTTTTGGAACTACTTTTATCCATTTCAAAAATAATACCTTGATGGCTTTTGGAACTACTTTTACAACATCAATCCAATTTAAGTAAACCAGTGCGTCACCTCTGCTTCGCAGACGCTCGTACTGGTCCTACTATCCACGTGCCTTCTTCGAAGTCTTAAAATGATGTCTTTGAAACTTACCGCGCGTTGCCGAACATCAGGAATGAATTGTAAACTCATTTCAAAAGCTTTTTTTATATAGGATCGGTAATTTTGAGAGGAAGAAAGTACTTTTCAAAAAATTAATCGTGGGTTTGAATCGCTTACTGGAGTTATAATGGCTTGATAGTCGCCATAAGGATCATGACAACCGTGAGTTACATCTTCAAGCAAAAATCTTCTTGAATTCTTAGGTAAAACCTTGACAAATCGACTATCTACGCAATTATTCCTTTTGGGCGCCGATCTTGCGTGAAAGTAGACTTTTTGCTCACTTTTCGGGCTAGAGTCCATGGTTTGCGGAGTTACTTGTCAGATAAATCCACGATTTAGAATTCTAATTACAGGCCCACTTTGGCGCGCCAGAAGTCGCATGGATCCGTTTGGCGCACAATTTTCATATGTTCCACTTATCGGGTCGGCTTATGCTTTTGCACAATTTACCTACATGCTGATAGGGTGCTATGACCAAAATTCTAACTCTAGATCCTTGCTGGAACTCGCTCTACGAATTTCGTGACAGACAGAGATTCACACACACAGAGACAACGTGAACAACCCTTAGGCCGTTATTATAAGTTATGATAGAGCGTTAGAACCTGCATAAGTGCACTACAAGTCGATTATTCTTCTCGCACACCACTAAATTCACCAAATACGAAAAAGCCATCCCATGTAGAAAGCACAGAATAGAGTAAAAAGAGAAATGTGGACGCTTTTGAAATACAGCGACCTTTCATTTTGTAACATTTATTTTACGTCTCAAATTATTCTGTCCTCTACAGCCTGAGTTACATCACACAACATTGAACAGGCAGACATTGTAAGTGCTGACATCGAAGATCCAAAATGTTACTCGTTCAGTCATAGAGCACCGAAAGATTCACTTTCTCAGAAAGAAGAGAAGCAGTCGGTGCACGACTATATGAGTGACTGAAAAATCAGACAAAGGGCAAAGTGCATGCATTGCGAGTGGCGGACTGCAAGGACCCACAAGAAACGTTATAATCAAACACAGACGTCAAAAATTTGAAGACAACAATACATTCGAAGACAGCACCAACAAAGAAAAAGCAGAGAGACAATAAAAAGATTGGAGGCGTTGACAAACACTTTTTTTGGAATGTTATATCTCACCAGTGCTTCACCTCTGCTTCGCAGAGGTTCGCACTGGCCATCATGAACCGTGGTAAACTCACTCTCTGAGAGCTTGTCTATCAGATCATTGTTCGGTTGACTGCAACATGAGAGCCATTGTTAAAAATGAACCATACCCGCTATCTTAACCTCACATGATGTTTAGTATCGTAAATCATTCCTCACTTAATTTCATAACAGACAGACTTACAGACCGACAAATAAGCGGCTTATTATAATTCATGATATCTGTACTATCTCATATCTGCATACTGCGCTTCAAAAAAATTTCCAATCTTATATATAAAGCTGAATGTCTGTTTGTATGTCTGTCTGTCTGTGTGTACGTAAGTTCCGAATAGAAAATTCCATTTCTGAACTGATCCGGACCAAACTTTGCACACATACACTTCGGGGCCGGCTCGGTGTCATAGGCTACTTTTCGTCATTGATCGATTTTATTCATCGATTTTATTGATTTTTCATTAAGTTTGAGCTACGGAGCTGGGAGTTGGCACAGGGGGGGTATGAGCATGCTGATTACGAAAATATTATTGACAGGGCCGGGCGAAGCCGGGTTTGCCAGCTAGTTTTGATATATTGCGCGCCAGAATTCAAGCGCACGCTGCTATTATTGATTAACTTTTTACGGGGCTTCCAGGCTTTTCAAATGGCGTAATCATAGTTTCGAGGAACATAATAAGAACAGCTTTTACGGTATATCTTGACATATCTTTATTTATGGAAATCAAAGTTTGTAATCTCACTATTCCTTTGTTCGGAATAGAATTTCCAAACTTTGCACACATATGTTTTAGTCACCGACAGATGTCATAGACTACTTTTGCGGCGATTCGCCGCCCCCTTTTATCGATTTATTGATTCTTAGCACTTTTTTAATGAGAGTGAACCCTTATCAGCCCTACCAAGCTCATTGCATATTCCAGTGTAAACGATGCAATAAAGTTCATTTTCATATCGCAGTGAAGAAGATCCAGTTTTTCAGAAAACCTTTCTGAGGTAAGCTCATGCGGGAGAGTAGGAGGGGGAGGGAGGTGGAGGAGAGGGCGTTTTCAGTGAGTAATTATTGCAGAAAGAGAGCAGAAAACTTGGCTGACCCGATCGAATAGAAGGGAAGGAAAGATTATGGTAATTTTTGACCATCGTCCTAAACGATACCTGGGTTGGATCGGGAAAGCCAGCTAGTAACTTATAAACGAAGCATTGTGAAAAAGTGCAAGTCTTACATATGGGGTCAGCAACTCTTTTCGCGACGTGTATGGCGATGATGTGTGTAAATTTTTCTGTTTTGGCCGACCGACTTGCAACTTGGCACACAGATATATTTGAACCCAGAGAAGAACAAAGTCTATTTTCAGCACCTTTGCAAACAGTCAATGACAAATTCACAGACTTCGAGCATGCTCAGAAGTGCGGTTACCCTGAAATTGTCAAAAATTGCAAAATTTCTGAGGGACCTAACTTTAAACGCTCATAACTCAGCGACTAATGAAGATACACTGCCGAAAATGATACTATTGGAAAGTAAAAGGGATGCTCTTAAATGAAAATGTTGTTAAAATTTTGAAATTCTTTCGAAAAAAGGAAGAAAAATGGGTCCAAAGTGAGGCAACTTTCACGAAAAGTGGTCCTTATTTAAAATGCCAATGTCACGGAGCGAAGCTGGGAGAAAAGACGAAATGCAGACATTTAGCCATACGAGGTAGAAAAGGTCTTCTAAGTGGAGGTGTGGTGTATGGGAGTCGGAGAATAGCAGGTACGAGTTTTGCTGCCTGACGCTTCGCAGCACCCTTATTAAAGGAGGAAGCCGTAAAGCAAAAGTCCTTCCCAGAAAATGGGGGGGGGGGGTCTGAGTTTCCATTTTTTATATATAGAAGATTTCTCTACCTTTCTTTGAGAGTCTAATAAAGAATTTTCAAAAATTAGCCAAACTTTGAGCAGATAGAAAGATGAAAAAATTGGGATTTTTCTGGAAGTTATCAGGAGATTATGACTAGTACTTATGACCATCAGAAATGGAAGGAAAACCTGCATGTAGAAACGTATTGAGTCCTTAATTGTGCGGGATTTTATAGTCGTTTGAAAAAACCGACAAAACTTTTGGGACAACCTAATATAAGAGCCGTAGCTTTCTTAGACTGAGAAGAAAGGAGGAAACAGAATGATTAGTGATCAGTGGATTCTGTTTCACTACATTTTTCATCTTGAAAAAAAAATTTTGTGCATAAACCATACGTACCCTAGGATATTCACTATGCAAATATCCATTCAGAAGACCCGCTCCAAGTCCAATTGACAGCACTTGTGAGCGAGAAAAGCTTTCTTCTCTGACCACTCCACTTTCATACATCTGTCCTAAATTAATCATCGGACTGACGGAAAAACGAAACTCAAAAATCATACTCACTTATCATTGAAAATATAGCGTCATCGGTTCTGCCCTTAAAGTCGAGTTCCCAGTTGATTTTCCAGCTTCTTGTATCAAGATTAGATCTTGATAACACTCAAAAAGCGTTTTGCAGCTTTTTACAGCAAATGAGCGGTTACCTTTAGGAAGTCTCAGTGCTAGCACTGCTAGAGAGAAAAGCCACATTGTTGCTGATCTTACTATCATACTTCTGCAAATACTGCGTACAAGTCGTTAGTCGTAACGCACCATCTCGGCTGAGTATTTATGTGCGTGTAATCTGTAGAGCACTGCGATTTTATCACCAGTGCCCCTCTTGACCAAGCTAGGTTGCTTAGGGGAGATTCCTACTTAACTGGCCTTTTCAGGTGAGACGCATACAGTTGGAAAGGCATTGAAACCTGATGTCAAATTTGTCTTTCTCACCTACAAAGCGTCACTGGATGAGAAGTTACGAATGCTTCATGAGTCAAAAGACTCAACGCCTGATCGGAACAAGATCAATGATGACAGCCTTTCCAACTCGCAGATGGAATAATGGCGAGCACAAGGGTAGCGAACAGAAAATTTTCTGTACCAAGCGATTTTCAACGAGGGCTTGCTTGTTCGAAAACGTCTGCGAATTTACAAATTACAATTTGCAAAAATGCAAAGTTTAGCTCCGTAGGAAACGCGAACTCTTCACCACCAGCGCCATAGTCTCCGCAGCTATCCAAACGCCCATCCGTCCAAACCTGTACACTATTTGGCGTTCCAGACTTATAAAGTACAGTGGTCATCTTGGGGAACCGTAGATCATAACTTATCCCAGAATATCACTGAGCAGCTAAGGAACACTGATCTGGTATCAGAGCCCCAAGCTCAACAGAATGATATGCATCACTGTGGAAACCCCACTTCGACTGAGGGTCGTTCCCTTGTTGAAGTTTCAGATGAAAGAAAAACTGGTGCAATCAACAGCTTGCAAATGGACAAAACGCTGAACGACTATTTTCTCCTCGCGCTTTTATTTTCCAAATTTAGTTTTGTGTAAAACATTCCAAGTTTGATTCAGTCAATTATCTTGCTTTCAAGCAGCTTTAGCTTGGTTTATTGTATTGCAGCTTATTCGTCCACTGAGTTTTTTGCCTTGCTTTCCCTATTTTGTCTCTACAATTAATTCTTTTTTTAACACCATTTCTGTTTGCCATTGTTGGGCCTGCATCAACTGTTTTTCTTTCACCCAAGTAAATCCTTCAATACTCTAGCCAATAGAATGACATAAATTTGCATAATCACATCAATGACAGTTCTACAACACTTTCCATTGATTCTGGCATGTATCGTATAGTTCACGTCTTGCAAACTATATTTCCTTGGGGCTTCTTATTATTAGTACCCTATTCGTCAAGTAAACTTGACAAGAGTTTGTTCTTCCCGCACCACTTGGCAAAAATGTTGTTTCACTCTAAACCTGTTGAATTAGTGGTTTGCGAGATACTGCATTACGAACTGTAAATGATGTTAAATGGGTTTATGTCTGTGATTGTCAGATTAAATACTTGTTGCTTTTTTCTCTCATCGTATTTTCTTGCTGTTACTAGTGTGAAATTCTAGCTTCGTTTCCCATATTTTTTGTTTGCGGATGCCATATAGCTCGTTGCGCAATGATGCCAAGAAGAGCTGATGCTATTAGGCCCGTATGCACGTACATCTCCGCTGGAGAGGGAAAGGGATCTGAGAGGGGATGCGTCATATCTTGCTACTCTACGTATCCAATTGATGAATTAATGTATGAAATGTTAATCTTTGTTATCCAACATGCAATCGATCTCTTTATCCCAATGAAGACGGTACCATTAAATAGACAGCATATACCGTCACACATAGCAAAGTTGTCCAGGGCCCGAAAGACGGCTTGGTATAGATTTAGATCAACAGATACGGAAGAAGATTTGATTAAATTCAGAATTCTTAATTCAAGGTTTGAAAGGAAACTTAAGAAATTACATATCTAGAAAGGAAGATAATCAAAACCGGTGATAGGACCGCATTCTATCGCTTACTCAATGCAAGGCTTAAAGATAGAAAAGTGGTGGGAGCTATCATGTCCGATTCTGGGAACATCCTGACCTCGGAGCTTGAAAAGCTGAAAGTTTACCAAGATCTTTGAAGAGATTTGTTAGAGAAAACTATTCATCAGATCAACCCTCTACTTACTTTTGAAATGATGAAAGAGTTTCACTATTTTGGTGATTTCGAAATCTATAAACTGCTTAGAAAATGGCCTCGATCAAAATCTCTAACTCCGGATTTTATACCTTTGCATTTTATCAAAGAGATAGCCCACATCATCTCAAAGCCATTGCAGTTTATATTCAATTTGAGTCTACTGAGGTCAGAAGTTCTTGAAATATGGAGAATCTCTTTTATAACTCCAATACCAAAGAAGAAACCTTATACATGTATTCATAATTACCGTCCCGTAAGCTTAACGTCCATATTTGCGCGCCTGTTTGAGAAGTTGACTAAAATTCAGATAACGAAGCATTTGCAAGAACATAATATAACACCGCAAGCGCAACATGAATTCCAAAAGGGTAAATAACGTAACCTCAATGCTATACACGCTCAATGACTGGACCCTGTCCCTAGATTTTGGCATAAGTACCGATGTTATTTATTTAGATTTCACTAAAACATTCGGTAAAGTACCACATTCGAAACTCATATTCAAAATGAAATCAATTGGAATACACCCATGCATATTTGCTTGGATTTCTGCCTTTTTATATAATCGTAAATTCACTGTTCATATCAATCGTACTTTTTCAAAGCTCAGAATGATGACTAGTGGGGTACCGCAGGGTGGCGTGTTGTCACCAACTCTTTTCAGCATCTATATTTATGAACTTCCTCAAGTAGTCTCTAGATTCGGAGTGTCGTGGTACGGATTCGCTGATGATTTTGAAATTTACAATAAAGTAGAAACAGCCGAAGATAGAGTTAAGATCCAGCGAGCGCTAGATGCGGTAGTTGCATGGTCGCTAGAGTGGAATTTACCCTTATCTCGTGAAAAAACTAAGCTGCTCCACATCGGTACAACCGATTTATACCGATATCAAATTGAAGGAGAGGACCTTGACTATGTCAATGAAGTGAGGGACCTAGGTTTTCTGGTCAATAGGAACGTTAGTTTCGATAAGCATGTTGAAGCAGTTGCTGCCAAGGGTAATGGGGCTGTTTATAACTTATTCAGAGGATTATCAACTAGTGACACATGTCTTCTCATTGAGGCTTATAAAACTTATATTAGGCCCTCACTGGAATATGGTACTGTAGTCTTCAACCCTACAAAAACCAGTTCAATTCGAGTGCTTGAGAAGGTACAGAATAACTTTACAAGAAAATTATTTATACGGACTAAAGGTTTTCGGTATGAACAATTACCCAAGGGAACGCTCAGAAACAAGGAACTCGGATTATACAGTTTAGCCATAAGAAGGAGGATGTTTGATCTTATCACAGCCCACAAGATTATATTCAAAGATTATCATGTCGACCCGTTCTCTTTTTTTGAAACAAGGAGTTCCAAAACTAGGGGAGGTCCAAGAAAGATAGTTGTACCTAGAGCAAGGAGAAATGTGAGGAGGAGATTCTTTGTAAACAGAATTAGTAGTGATCTGGATAGACTGATGAGAAGAGGAATGATTTCTGTGAAGCTTTCGCAATTTAAGATGCCTTTAAAGGACTATTTGCTTTCATATTAAAAGTCTGTCATTGTTGCTTTTTTGTATTGTGTTTACTAACGAGTTTTCTATGTTTTGTAATATTTGTCTGTTGGAGATTAATGCATAGGACATCCTATGTGATAAATGAAAAACGAAATTCCCGCACCACTTGGCAAAAATGTTGTTTCACTCTAAAGCTGTTGAATTAGTGGTTTGCGAGATACTGCATTCCGAACTGTAAATGATGTTAAATGGGTTTATGTCTATGATTGTCCGATTAAATACGTTGCTTTTTTCTCTCATCGTATTTTTCTTGCTGTACTAGTGTGAAATTCTAGCTTCGTTTCCCATATTTTTTTTTTGCGGATGCCATATAGCTCGTTGCGCAACGATGCCAAGAAGAGCTGATGCTATTAGGCCCGCATGCACGTACATCTCCGCTGGGGAGGGAAGGGGATCTGAGAGGGGATGCGTCATATCTCGCTACTCTACGTATCTTTCTTCTTCTTTCTCTATCTTGCTTATAAAGATTTTCATGCATTTATATCTGCGCATAATGGATGCCAGGTTACTTCCATACAAGATTGGTTTTTTGCCATTTTGTGTGATCCCCAGCGGATCCCCTGCTCAGACACTGGGACCGGCCGAGCCGCGGCCTCAAAAGGCCTTTCCGGCCCGTCCGCGGCCTTAATCTGTGGGCGTGTCCGGAGTGCGGCCGAGCCGCGGACCTTAATTCATGTCACTATCATTGCACCGGCCGAGCCGCGGACTGAATATGGCTTACCGGCTCAGCCGCGGCCTTAATGATGGGCGTGGAACATTGCACCGGCTGAGCCGCGGACCAAAATCTTTATAATGAAACTCCGGCCGAGCCGCGGCCCATATCAGATAAGGTCCGCGGCTCGGCCGCTCCCAGAATCTGAGCATAAAGAATACTTGCGTGATGTACGACGCATGATCAGGCTGCCCTCAGTGTCCATAGCCTTCGATGTCCTTCCAGTCTCCAAGGCGGAAACAAGATCAATATGTTGTACATCCTTGGATAGCACCTTGTGCTCGGACCTGGTACCCGAAGCCGCTATATAGGTGGCTTCAATTTTTGGTTTTTTTACTGTGTAATTCTAAGTGCCAGTGAATAAAAAAACAGTTCTACTGTATCCGAGCTGAATGAACTAGACGGCCCGACGATCAGCTCCGGCTGAGCCGCGGCCCAAAAGCGGACGAGCCGAGGCCCTTCTCCGGCCGAGCGCGGACCATTCACCGGCTGGCCCGCGGACGCTGCGAAATTCCAGCCGGAAATGGGCCGCGGATCGTCCGGTCCCAGTGTCTGAGTGGGGATCACCACTCATATTCAAAGTGATTTATATTCCTGAGAAATCAATGAAAAACCTGTAAAATTGTACTGAGGATATACTACGGCACTGCGAAGCATATTTTCGACAGAAGAAATAAAATCTGAAGATTGTGAATTTTTCGATGATCCCTGACTCGCGAGCTAGGGATTACCGAAGATTTCGATATCCTGAGATCTCACTTATTTTTACTATAATCATCTTTAGCAGCGCCGCAGTATCATAACTTATAATAACGGGCTAAGGGTGTTTACGTTTTTTTTTTGTGTGTGTGTATGTGTGTGTGTCTGTCTGTCCGTTACGAAATTCGAGGAACGTGTTCCAGCCAACGTCCGAAGCCCAAATTTTGCATAGCGCATGCTAGCGGCATGAAAGTCCACTATGCAAAAGCACGAGCGGATCCGTAGAGTGGATCTCTCAAAAACTGCGCTTCAAACGGATCCACTTGCCTTCTGGCCACCAATATTGGGCCTTCACCACCACTTTTTGCGAAGTCATGGATTTGATTAACAAGCTAATGTGAAGCCATGGACTTTAGCCCAAAAAATTGAGCTAAAGTTTTATTCCACGAAAATGGCGCCGAAAAATATTAGTGGCGTAAATGGTCAATTTGCCAAGATTATACCTGATCATTTGAGAAGATTTTTGCGCAGAGATGTAACCCCCGGTGATCATCGTTGTTATGGCGACTACCAAGCTATAAAAAATCCGAAAACCGATTCAAATTTGCATTTATTCTTCTCGGAAAAGTTTCATCCACGCGAAAATACCGATCCCAAAAAAAAGCTCTTGGCATGAGTAGTTGTTTACAAATCATTCGTGATAGCCTGCATAGCGCGGTGAGTTCCAGTTCCACTGTCATTATTATGCGGGAGTGAGTTAGGCATATAGAAAGTAAGGCCAGTGCGAGCCTCTGCGAAGCAGAGGTGACGCACTGGTATTCACAATAACCATTTTACAGCGTTTCATTGAGTTTTCAGGCAGATAATGGCATAGAAGTTGAGAGGTGACCCCCTTGGGATCTCCAGGGGATCACACAAGATAGTGAAAATCTAATCAATCACGCCAGTAACCTGGCATCCATTATGCGCAGATATAAGTGTATGAGGACCTTCATAAGCAAGATAGAAAAGGAAGAAGAAAGATGCGTAGCGTAGTGAGATATGACGCATCCCCTCTCAGATCACCTCCTCTCCCCAGTGAGGATGTCCGTGCATACGGGCCTTAGAATAAACATGTTTTTGAGAGACTTGTGTGCACCTGAGATATATTTGAAGTTAAGGTGGTTCTCACCAGTGGAGTGGATTGTAGAATATCATTATATGCTTCTAGATGCAGATATCGGGGGCGTTGCAGTGTTTATTGGCATCATAGTGTCACCTCAACAGAGGTTTCTTGCTTACTAGCTTCCAGAGGGTAACAGGAGACGTTGAGACACTCTGCAGTTTGAATAACAAAGTGATAGAGAGCGCCTGATAGCTCGCTAAATCTTTTAACAAAGGTAAAGATGCTGTCAAAATGTTATTACATTTCTAGCGATCTCACATGTACGACTAATTTTTTGTGGGTAGGGGAACAAACTCCGCCAGGTTTGAACCGCCATCGCGGACTTCTGGCCCTGCAACGACATGCAATAATACTGCAATAGGAGCAGTTGCCAGCGAAAGCGAGGTCAAACTGGCGGCGTTCGTTCCCTACCCATTTTTTGCAGCACGTTTGGTTTGGCGCAGCGATCATTGCACCGCCTCAACTGCACAAATAGGTGGTGCTAAATTGCATTTCTAGTTTTCAAGGGATCTAGGAAGCTCAAGCCTCCGTTTTCACCGAAACAATTAAACTACCTATTGCCTATTGTGACCAGTTCGTCCCAGATTTCTAGGCATTCCTCAGGAGTAAGGCATACGGTTGCCCTGGAGATGAAGCAATTTTTCACTTGTTTCAAAGTTTACAAGTACACACATCTTCTTACTGTCTCCATTTACAGACTTGTACAACTTTAGAAATTCTTCTTCGCTGTAGCCTCTCGTTGCTGTTGTGTCCTGTGAAGCGATATAGAAAAAGCATGTTGAGAAAACAAATATGATTATGTAGTCAAGCTGAAATATGATTATGTAGTCAAGCTTTCGATTCCAACGCGAAAAGTTCTTGTTGATAACCATTGCTAGTAGTCCGATGTATGCTAGCCGAAGCTGTGCACGCCTACCGATCGCGATCATCTAAAGCAGTAGAATGGTAGTGTAATAGTTATTCGCTAAAGCTCACCTTCAAATAATGCAGGTTGACATAAACAGAAATAAACACATTGTTTGATCGTTAATACTCTTCCCACAAAGTTTTTTGTTGACCGTAGTCACTATTCTGTAAAGCCAACTTCAACTCAGATTTGCGGTATGAAGTAAATTACCAATCTCTTTTCATTACTGTAGAACTACGATGGAAACAGGGAGAAGGGTTTAAGCGATTGAGGACCACAATTTATCTCATTTTGTCTATTTTCGTTATGCACATGCATACATTCATTTGGGGTGCGTGGCATTAGGTACCTAGCCGAGGTGCGGGCGTTAGGTACCCAGCCATTAGTGGTATACACTAAGCCACGCCCCTTGGCTGCTTTAACAGCGGGTACCTAACGATACAACAAATCCTAGCCGCTAGAAGAGCCCACCTAGCTCGCTGAAGCGCTGGAGCTTGCGACCCACATGAGAAAGATAGTTCGAGAAAATTAAAAATTGCGCGAATGAAAGCGCAAGTTTACAACGCTTTTTCTATTGCTTTTCTTAAAATCAGTTTTGGAACCATGAAATTCGGTGGTGAAAGCTAAAAACAGGGTAAGGCTTTTATGAGCAGTTCACATAGTTTTGCAAAAAAATTGTGATAATCTGAACCGATAATGTCAGAGGTAATCTTATGAAAATAAACCTTGTAGAATACTAATAAATCAAAATTTTATGACTTTAATGAAGAAAGGCGCACTTTGATGCGCCCTTGGCAAATGTTAAACGGAATATTCCTTTCACATATTGTCATAGGCTCGTTTGAGGTGTGAAGTCAAGGGTCGTACACTTGCGTTAATATTGTCACAGGAATTGTGAACTATGTCAACGTATATTATTGAAGTTATTATTTCGGTCATAGTTAAGACCAAAAGATTTATGGGGCATTGATAAGCACACATTTTTCTTTATTTTGGAAGATTTGTTTGTCTGAAAATTTCATTGAGCTACTGTATTTCATCATGCCTACGTTCTCTATAATGCTTTTTGGAGGCCTTCATATTGCAATTGTTTCATATTCATTTTCTTTTCTAGCAGCCAAAATATGCTCAGTTTATCCAACCAAAGCTATGAATTTTTTTTGTAACTCCCTAAAAAGCGAAAGATTTTCCCAATAATTGTTCTGAGTAGAGTTGCTGCTTTTTCCTGTTGCATTTTCTTGGCGACACTCATCCGAAATTGGCATAGCTCTGTAATCTACAATTTTCGTTGACTGGAACAAAGCTTGCCCTTCTCATATCAATGGGCCATTTAGTCCGCCTTAAAGTTCCGATTCCTGATGACAAGTTCTCGTCGAAGGCTCTTCTTTCAATCGGTTCCTCTTCTCATTGTCAAAAATATATTTGAAGCAGTTTTTTTTTGAAACAAAGGAAAATTTCGTGCAACTTATTTGCCAGGAGCGTCTCCGCAAGTGCGCTTTGCTTCAGTAGTATCATAAATATAATTCTACAAAGTTCACTTTTTTGAAACTCCCGCTGACTTATAGGTTAGATCACATTATCACAAATTTTTTGCAAAACTATGTAAACTGCTCATAAAAGCCTTACCCTGTTTTTAGCTTTCATCACTGAATTTCTGTAATTCTAAAATTGATTTTAAGAAAAACAATAGGAAAAGCGTTGTAAACTTGCGCTTTCATTCGCGCATTTTTTTGATTTTCTCGAACTATCTTTTTCATGTGGGTCGCAAGCTCCAGCGCTTCAGCGAGCTAGGTGGGCTGTTCTAGCGGCTAGGATTTGTTGTATCGTTAGGTACCCGCTGTTAAAGCAGCCAAGGGCGTGGCTTAGTGTATACCACTAATGGCTGGGTACCTAACGCCCGCACCTCGGTTGGGTACCTAACGCCCGCCCCCCATTCATTTGAGAGGCCCACACAAGTCTCTAAGTGACAGCACTTGAGCAAAAAGATTTTTGGGTACTCCGTTTGCATACATGTCTTGCAATTTAGTCACAAACTGACGAAACCTAAAACAAGCGCAATACTTGTCTTTGAGAAAATACTTAACAAGTTGAGACAACTGCAATATGCTAACAGAGTCCTTGATCTAAACCGAAATCTGCACTTTACCGTAGTACGGCTTCCGTAAGTTTCAAGTATACAGTCACGACAGTCGTCCCAATGTTCCTCAAAATGCGATTTCGAATTCAAATGTTTGAAATACCTAAGTTTTGCAAACAGAATAGGATGCGTGAAAACCCTGCTTCGAACAACTTTTCCGTCTTGGAGTTTTTTCAAACGGCGCATTTCGTATTGTTGGGACACTCTGTATAATAACAAATCAAGTCATAAACTTCGTAATCAAGAGCTGCTACGGGCGGATGCAAACTTGAGCTGGCCTCATTTGTGGATATACGCTATATGGGGGAGACGGTCTTTTCGCACGGGCGGTCTCCAGCGTCTCCCTGATTTTGACTTGTCTTAACATGTAATGCACGCCGCAAACCTTTCCTCCCCCTGTTTTCCTTAGGCAAAAGCCGCCACAGGGTATGTCGCGCGCGGCGATGATCCTGTGTAGAAAGCATTACGGTCGTGCGAATCGTCCTACACCCGCTATATGGCCTAAACTTTATCAGATTAACTAAATGCAACCTCTAATTTGAGCAAGTAAACAACAATTAGTTCAGTAAAGTACAACAAGAGCGAAGCAAAGTTGCTGATCAGAGTTCATTGTTAGACAATTATTGCCATTGGAAATATATGGTAAGTGCTTAAAATTACACTGCAACTTGTGAATTTAACCTAACTACAAGGATCTCGACATGCTAATCGCGATAATGATACCCCATAGCATGGCGAGGGTTTTTTCCGTAATTATGGTAGATTTACTGAATTGTCTCATCTTGTTGCAGTATCACCAAAAGTTGTAAATTCTTTCATCTTATTTAATAAAAATCAAACAAGATTATGACTATAGCAGCAAACCTTTGTCGTCAACCTGATACTTTGCGAAAACGTAAAGTTGATGCGCTTTAAATGGCTGTGCACCAGTTTCAATATGTCTGCGAAAGTCTATCAAAGAAAGGACTTGTCAGATATACCACAGACTAACAAGCATACGCGGTTTCAAGCTGCCCTGTCAATACACTATGATAAAGATCAAAATCCCCACTTTTGTACATTTCACTGTCTTTGTCCACTTCTATGCGACAGCTTAAACCCATTATGTCATCGTAATCAGCATGCTCACTTACCCCATTGCACCAACTCCTAGCCCATAACTCAGTCTGCAATAAAAGTAATCGATAAGATCGAAATCAATCCATAGCGAAAAGTAGCCTATGCCACCGACGTCCCTTGAGTTTGGTGTGCAAAGTTTGGTCCTGATTGATTTAGAGATGATGAGGTTTTCTAATTGAAAATGCATGGAAACAAACAAACGAAGTTTTTCGAGATGAGTGGAAAAAAGTGAGTATGATAAAAGAGCAATTGAGTCAAGAAAGGGTGAGGGGGAAACTAGCACATAAGAATTATTTCCCAACTCAAGAAATAATCAGCTTTGTAGAGAATACTTTGATTGGATGCTTCCTTCATGCTCTCTTCCGCCGCATCGGCCTTGATTCAAAATGGGGCTTCTTCGGTTATTTCGGAGTCAGAAAACCGCTCCAACAAAACCGCAACAAATCTAAAGGGCTGGATATAAATCACATGATTTTATCGCCGCCGATCCTCCGAACAAGACAACTGTAATGAGTACATTGCATGCCGATCGTCTTGCATTTCGTTGTGTTAGTCGCGACTAGCTCTTCTCTATCACTAACGAATTGCAAGATGATCGGCGTGCAATGGAATCGTAACAAATGTCTTAGTGGATCCTTTATAGAACAAATTTTGAATAATCGAATTAATCGGGCATACTGCCAACACAAAATATAGCACATGATTGCACTAGTGCGTACTTGTATGTAACGCAACCATATGATAAGGATATAGCCAGAGCAGTTCAAGTACTTTTCCAATGAAATGCCGTTTGAAGCGGCCGAGAATCTATTACGCTTTTCTCATAACGGTTAGTAAAAAGTCAATTGTCCTTGCTCAGATAGCTACCTTCAGGTCGTCACGTTGTCGCTTTGTATTCACTTTTTGGTACCACCGACCCGCAAGCCTGAGAAAATCTTATCGTCTTTCGAATTCTATAAGCTGCTAGTAGACAAATACGGTCCATTTAGAATTCTGTCAGTCGTCGTCCTAAAACTGTCTTAGTTGCACTGGTCGTATGTTACAGTGATGAAATATGTGTTGAAGAAAATTGCTACGTTGTGAGGGATGCACTCGCCAATCCTCTAATTATGTATTTTTATTCAATTCCGTATTCATATCTACCTTATGTTGCAATCTCTGCAGGAAACCCTTTGAACGACAGTTGTTGCAAACAAAGCCACCTGGAATTAGAGCAATTGCATTACTGCAAGCTCCAACAGGTACTTTATGATTATGTTCGTACATCAGAAATTCCTAAGATTAAATAATTTTTTGCCTTTCATGGGGTAGATTCACACAATGCATGCTTGGCAAAGTCCCAGATCGGATCGTAGCGCAATATATCTAGTGTCTAATGTCAAATATGTCTAGTTCTATTGCTATTGTCGTCACAAAGACAGCACACAAATGGATAGAATAAATTCTGCATGTTTTGGTCTTATATTGAAACAAGGCCAAAACTGGCCGGGCTAAACGAGACATTTGATGGTCTCGTGTCTTGATGTTTGTGCCGTTTTTGGGCCTCTGATGACGACGAAGAGTCGAAACTTTTGGGTAGAGGGCTATATATCGACCACGCAGCCATAAGTGTTACACACATTGCGGATTGTACCAGCAGTCTGCAAGAGGCGGAACCTGTCGGTGACATACGCCCCCCCCCCCCCTACTCGAAGTGTAAGGCCAGTCGAATAATACCACCATATCAAACCTGTACGGCAAAGCGAAATTGAAAACTCTGCATGTTTTATTTTATGGAAATACGAATTGGTCCGTTTTTTATGTCCTTGTGAAATGTAACATTTGCAGGTTCTTATTTCAAAATTTTCCTTGTTCACAAAATTTCCAGTAAAAGCGATTACGGTGACTTACGAAGAGGTTAAAACAATGTTAAATCTCAGGAAAGCACCGCTTTCATGCGTGCAAAAACATGCATTGATTGCGTAATAACTTGATATCCGCTTAGAAACAATCTACTAGTCCAATAGTTCTGCACAGTCACTCCATCTTCCTATTGTACTTTTTTAGTGAGAGTCGCAAGCAACACCGACAGTAGCAAGTGGATGATAGTCAGAGATAAAGTCGTCGACGGCAGTTTGGATTTTATGATGCTCGGTTAGTACCGACCTTTTTTGTTTGACTCTAATTTCACGCGTACAAAGTGCACCCTTTTCGAATTTTCAAACGTGCCGGTCAGTTGTTGCTTCACTGTATTTGGGAAAGCGATCCTTGGCCCATACGATTCTCTCAGCAATACACAGCACAGTATAGGGTGCTTCGGTCGCAAAGACCTCTGCATGTTTAGGCTGGTTGATTTTGGAGAAGAAATCTTCCGTGCCTTGTATGCGTGAGATCAATTTAGTTCGTAGCCAATGCACATCATACTTTCTGCGCTGGATCTAGCGACTCAGACCAGTGCGGATGTTGCGCGCCCCTACCATGCAGCTGTCATTCCTCAAGCTGCCCGCATGGCGAATTCTTCCGCCATATCCTCATCTAGCATGAAACCCTGCAGCAGCCTCACTAGGCGCCTGCGCCACGTTTGCCGGCATCTCGTCTGCATTTTGCCAGCGGAGAACAGCTGGTTCTGCCAGCTGTTCAGAATGCTTTTTGGAATCGAAACAAACCGAGTGATAACGCCAGAGGTACAACAACACCACAAAAATGCTCTTAAGGCCCCGGTCAGACTTCACGCGACTTAATCGTCGCGACCAAACCGCCAAGATTTCCATTCATTTTCATTTCACATACAAAAATTTCGGTCTGGAAAAGTATCACAACCGAATGCAAGTTGATCTGCATGGAATGATGTTATAACAGTTGTCTCCTCGCGATTCAGTCGCGACGATCAAATCGCGTGAAGTCTGCCCGGGGCCTAATACGTTGATGACAACGCGCATTCACAGTTGTCTGCTTGTGGGATAAAGCTTTCCACGAAAGTTAATGATTTTCAGCCAAAATTAAGCAGGTTGTTATCTACAGTGAATCTACGGTAATTCTAAGAAGCAGAAAAGAAATGCCGAAGTAACCACTAGAATCAGAGCGTAAGAAAACTTCTGAAACGAATGTACCTGAAGGTTGTATTCATTTTGACGAATTTAAGCCACCATGTGGGTCACATTGTCGTTAATGTGTTGAAGTTGATTTCCACTATTATTCTGCTACGACTAATGGTTTTCGTTTGTTCCTGTAACTGCCCCCCCCCCCCTGTGCTTTCCTGATAATGTGTTTTGTATCGTAGCAAGCATCACAAGGAACTTTTAAACTGAACATAGTACATGGCATATTATAAACACCCACCTGTTGAATAAAAGATAACATTTCAGTTAGAGTGACGAAGCATTCACCACTTCGTATCATGTAAGAAAAACAAGACAAAAATGAATTCGGAAGCTTTTCCGTAGTGTTGTCCAACTTTTGCATTTCGATCTATCCCGTTCTTTATGCGCCATCACTCAAGAATTTTGAAAAAGAAAGCAAAAATGTGAAGACATACCTATGAAACTCCTAACAGTCAGAATCAGCTGTTTTTGTCTGACAAAACGCAAGCGTAACGCAATCCGGAAGCGAAGTGGCTGCACTCCACGCATGTGGAGTGTGCGACAGAGAGACTAGGGGCCGCATGCATTCTCAGACAGCGGATAGGACCCCTCCGCCGGAGAAATGGCAGGGTCGCGGCATTTCCCCAGCGGTGGGTCTCCCATTTGTCCGGCGGAGCCCTCCCATTTCTGCTCCGGATACCTCCCATTTTCTGCTCCGGATACCTCCCATTTTCTGCTCCGGATACCTCCCATTTTCTGCTCCGGATACCTCCCATTTTCTGCTCCGGAGGCCTCCCATTTCTGCTCCGGACCCCTCCCATTTTCTCCGGCGCGGCTCTTTCAAATTTGGCGGACTCGCGCCGGGCAAATTTCTCCGGCGCGGAGTCCGCCAAATCTGGCAGAGTCGCGCCGGAGAAATGGCGGACCTTTGCAGCAGGGCCGGAGAAGCCTCCCACTTGCCTGCCAGTGATGTCACCGCGATGGACCGCCCATTTGCCCCTCTCTCATTGGTCAACTGGGTCCGGCGCGACTCTGGCAGTTTCGGACTGTCCGGCGGAGGGGTCCCGTCGATTATCTGAGTTAGAATCCCGCCGCGGTTCCTGAAACTCCAGATATCTGAATTATCTATTTATCCATAAGTATTCCATCTTTCACTATAAATATTGAACAGGAGCGGGAAGCTGTACTAGCCACTTTTCCAGCTTTTTTATGATCCCCTGCGGCCGACCTTTTAAATAATTGAGTGTCGTTTTCCTTTTTCTAAGTTAACAAAAACCTTCCAAAGCTGTACTGATTATTGTTACTGATAAAAGCAGATAAGTTCCTGAAATATCGAATTTTTATAAACCTCAACTTTCGGCTTGTGTTTCATCGCAAATTTGACTCCAATACATCATTTGTTCTTGACAGCATCATGCTTAGCACTGTCAGATTAGAATATCAGTGCAACTTTGAAAGGTTTTCGTTAGCATCAAAGAAAGAATGACTGTGAAGAAAAGACGGGGATTATCGGGGGATCATATTGGGTTGTTTCAAAAGTTCTAACCGTTTTCGATACCTTTTTTTGAACTGCCGATTTTGGGGGAAGAAACCATTTTTAATAAGCTATGCTTATAGCATGCAAAAGCTCTTTCCTTCTAGTCTTTCAGGCATATTTTCGTTTTCGTAGATCTTAGTTCGCTGTGTGGTTGCCTACTTTGATAAGACAGCGAAATAAATGTAAAATTTTCGTCTTTGTTCTATCGCCGTGAAATCTACAGTCAGAAGAAAAAATTTCTTTCAAAACATACATAATGTTTGCTGGAGACTTGTGCTACAAAAAGCTGGTCGAGATATGATTCCAGAAAAATTTTGAACCTACAAATTTTTAGCTCAAACATAACCGGTCTTTATGGTCCCTTCAAGTCGCATAAAAATCATAAGCATATTGCAATCGCGGAACTTTTACTCTATATAGTAAAATTAGAGCTGGAACAACTGCTACTAGAAGAACGAGAAGATTTCCTGGTTTGTCAACGGCGAACAGAATCAAAAATGTCAAAAAGTGGCATCTTTTGCCGTGGTCCTTTCGGATTTTTCAGCACAAGATTTTCATGAAAGAATTTGATGAAATCCAAAATTAGCGGTACTGCTCAGTCGACTATGGGTTATTGTGAGCAGTGCTTGTGCAACTCAGCTATATTCCAAATCAAGTTATGCCTTTGCAAAGTGAAAGTTTCTACAAGGGGATGTTCCTCGATTTTCGCCTATAAAATCTTCTCCACTGTTAGCAATACAAAGAGTGCACAGAATAGCCAAATATTTGCAGATTGTAATACAGTTTACAGCAATTGCAAAGATTATTTCTGTGAGTAGAGTTACGGTAAATCAAAGTCAAAGTTCGAAAACGGGTAGAACTTTTGAAACAACCCAATACAAAAAGCTGGAAAATACGGCTAGACAGCTTCTCGTTCCTGTTCAGTCTCAGTTTTTGGGTATATGCTGTCATATAGTTGCGTAAGTCATAGATTTAATCTTTCGAGCATCCAAAATATTTCGAATTACACTTGCCAGAATTAACAAGTCGGGCTTGAAAATCAAGGTACATCTTTCTTTTTAGAAGCCGCAATCATGAGTGGAGGACTGTCTCTCGACACCAATGCATCTATAAAGGTTCTGATCGTTGGTCTAGGCAGCGGTACACTAGCAAATTTCATCCACTTCAGATGGCCTTCCGTAAGTTAATTTACACACTTAGGGCCGCTGCGAGCTGAATTTCCAGTGAAAGCGAGGGGTAGAAACAGATAAAATTCTTTACTAGATTTTGTGGGCTACACACGAATTCAGGTTTTTTGCAGGCTTGTAATTCCATAACTTTGATAATTTAAACTGTAATTTTTTTAGAGCTGGGCCAATTACCTTTTTCTGTACCTATCTATCCTAATATACTGACTATAAAAGCATTCTTCCCAAGCAAAACTTGACACCTTTTACATTAACTCGTGAAGGCTATGCGCCAGTACATTCGATTCCGATGTGCGGTGGAATTAGTAGACATTTGGCAAGTTGTCAAATCGCGTGACGATAGCGCGATCAGGCGGAAATGCTCAACATATGTCCGAGGCCTTAGCAGTATCGCGTGGTTCGACTTGAAATGACAATATCTCCAAGGACTTTTCAAAAGCTTTCAATGAGCTACAAACTTTTGGCGTTTTCGTCCTAGTGGCTTTATAATGTCTAACATGTAGTTGCTTTATAATTGCTTCAATCTTACTTCTTCGATATGTGTACATTTTACTTTGCTTGCTTGTAGTGGCTTATAGAGATGAAAGTCGGTACGTATCCGTTATCCGGACCCATTTTTCAAGAAAAAATATTGCTACTTTCCTTGTACCAGATTTGGTCCCAGCTTTACAGGAAGGAGTGTCAACCTTCTGCCACGTGTCAAAAAAATTTGACATGTCACCTACATGGTTAGCAAACAAACTTATGGTTAGTTTACCATGAGTTTGTTTCGCCCTACCTGTTGACGTCGGAAGGCCTCACAGGCGTAGTTTGGACCTAGATTCGTGTGGAGACGGGTTGCGGACTTCCCTGATTTCAAGGATATTAATGAGAGAGTACGAAATACAATGTTATAACGTGTTTAGCAGGCTTTACCATAAGTTTGTTTTGCCCTACCTATTGACGTAACTTCATCTCAATCAAACATCCTCGAAAATGAACATTATAATAATAACGTTATCCTATTATCATTAACAGACTGGATTTGCCCAGAATAGTGAAGTGCGTTAGAAATTCCATCGTTTAGGTGGCAAGACAAGCAGTAGCGAAGAATTTCAAGCCGTTATTTAAAGTCTTTCTGGCTATATTCGCATGACGGGCAGAGTTTGAAAAGAAGGACATTTTCGAATCATTGCTGAAAGCAACAAGATGTTCTTATAAAAGCTCTAAGTTGTTTTGCTTTTATAGAAAACAGTTGAACAGCTTTTAGGTGATTACAAGTGCCCTTTTACCTTACCGAAAATGATCTAGAAAAAACGTGCCAAACTGGACCAAAACGTGTTAAGTTTTTCTTGACAGGTGGACGGGAGGCTGTGCTCGTAGAATTTATAAGAAAAATATTCTCTAGCTTAATAGCGTATTTTATGAGAATCTTTCGAAAAAAAGGGGTTCGGATAACGGAAAAGTATCTGAAAGTGTGCTTCTCTTGATTCTGAATCCCCAGACAGAAGAACGAAGTAAAATCAGTTCCAAAAAAGTGTTTACGAGCTTAAAAAGTGAAACTGCATACAACTCGCAATCTTGTCGACGCCTGCCTGTCACCTCAAATCAAAAGTCTATACAACGAAACCGCAGACATTGTAATTGATGTCAAGAGATATAGATCCCAAGACTGCAAGAGATTGATGCGATGATTGCAATAATAATATCACTTGGCCTTTTCTGTTGGTTGCGTATATTCTTCGCTGAGGTATGTCAAGAACAGGCCTTGTGCTGACGCAGCGACTCTCCAAACATAGCGCGGACACGCCTATACCGGCGTCTGCACGAAAGTGTGATTGCAGCTTTGATCTAGGACATAGAGTGTTTTTTCCTAACCTTACACTGCGTCTTTTGCAGGCAACTTTGATAGGCTTAGAAAGAAAAGTAGAATTTGCAAGATTTGTACTTGAATGGTTTCAAATTTATCACGACTATCGGCTAAAGATTTATGGAGTGGTTCCGTCTGAAAAAATTGCAAAGTTGGCGAAAGAAGGTAAACTAACTTTTAAGTGGTAATGTTTGAGCACAATGGATAATGGGACATTGCTATAATACAAGCCGAGCCGACAGAGTTGCACTGTCTTGTGTGATCCGCCGTTGTTTTCCAGGCGTCCATCTTCTCATAAACTTGATAAAAAGTCGTAAAATTTTGCTGAGGATCTATTGAATAATGTTATAAAAATAAGTGAAATGTTAGATTTTAGGAACGTTCGATAAACCGCTATTCGCAAGCTGGGGTTTATAAAAAAGCACAACCTTCACATTCCTTTGTACTGTTGTAAGCAGCATGCTTGGCAGTGCCATAATAGACCCTAAGTGCAATTTTACCATCTATCAATTTGTGATCGAAGATTTTGATCATATCCTAGAGGATCAGCTTTTGTGGCAGAAAGAAGTACCTAATTTTGTATAAGGCGCATCCTGTTGTTTTAGATGCAGACAGTCAAAGGAGTCCATGGGACTTTACTGGGATAGGTTACGGTTATACAGACAGCTCAAAGGCAGCATTTAGCAAATCACATGGGAATCCCACGTAGAAACTGATTTCGTGGCCCTCGCTACTGAGCGAGGACCCGCCGACTTTGCGATAAGTCTCCCATAAAAGCCTCTAAGCCAATGCAAGTCGGCCAAGTACGGTAGCCGATGCCTGAACATTGGCGTTAAAATTATTTTAAGCCATGAGAGAGCCTCGGCTATCATATACTCAGACAATCGCCGGGGGCAGGCGGGCACCGGAAAAATAGATTGCTGATCTCTCGCACCCCGCTCGCGGATTTTTCGGAAAGCAATCAGGACTTTTCGGAAGACCGCTTGCTGAGTTCTCGATTCCTCAGATTAATATATCTGCAAAAGATAAGAGCGAAAAAAAAATTCAACAGGCGGTCTCTCAAAAATCCGCTGACTCAGCAAGCGGTCTTCCGAAAAGTCCTGATTGCTTTGCAAAAAATCCGCGAGCGGGGTGCGAGAAATCAGCAATCTATTTTTCCGGTGCCCGCCTGCCCCCAGCGATTGTCTGAGTACTATGAGTACTAACGTCTGTAAACTCGAAAAAGGTGACTTTACAGGTTTTTTATGAAGTTATTTTTAGGTTGATGCAAAAATAATGGCCGATTTTCCAAGCCTTTTCTCAGGCCAACTTTTTTCCATCGCATTTTCTTTTTTGAAATAGATGTAGCATACACTGTGAAGCACTTAGATAATTGCCGGGGGCAGGCTGCCATGCGATTTATGGGCGGGCGGGCGCCGGAAATTAGTTCGCTGATTTCTTGCGGACCGCTTGCAGATATTTAGAATTTTAGCAAAATTTTAGACGAATGCTTGGAGAACAGTCGTTTCCTTATAGATTAGCTGCGGCGCAGTGGCCGCACTCTCGCGAACTTTCCGCGAGAATATGCAAAATTTTCGAGGGCCGCACGATCTTCTGTGAAGGACCGCGCAGCCCCCAGGTACTTTCCGCTGAGAGAAAGTACCTCAAACTTGAGTAATTGAACCAACGATGACACCTCTCCCACACAGAGTCTTTTCTGTGCTCGACGTAAGCCCGAAACTGTGTAAAAAGAGTCCGAGCGTTTGCTGAAAGTTCGGCCTGCGTTTGCTGAAAGAGATTATTTGACGAGCGCCTGCGGAAAATTCTGTGTTGCTGCCCGCTTGCAGAACATTGACAGTAAAGGAAGTGCCACTCGCGGAGGGTTTGGCCACGCCCCAAAAATCTGCTGACCGCTTGCAGAAAAGCGCGAGTTTGCGGACCGCTTGCCCCCGGCGATTATCTGAGTAGTGGCGTACCCAGGATTTCCGCTCGGGGAAGGGGGGGAGGGCGACAAAAAAAATTTTCTGATGAGGGTGCGTGGCGTTAGCCACGTACCTAGAAAAAATTTTTGGTACCCCTCTCAAAGTTTTCGCGGGCCCATAACCCCAAAATTTTGAAAAAGGGGGCGTGGAATGCTAAATTGAATATTTAAAAAATTTGAAAAAATTATTTTTATTACTTGCAGGTATAATTAAGTCTCTCGCACATTTTTCATAACTCATATAAGTAACTTTCAAAAGTTTCACGACCCATTCGCGGGGGAGGGGGCCCCCCCCCCTCCCCCGCCCTTTCGGTACGCCACTGCTGTGAAGCTATTTTCATAACCCTGTCTAATGCTGGATGAAGCAGGCTTTCACCCTCATCTGTCATAAAAAATACCAAGTTACAAATAACCGCATCCAAATCCATAATTATGTTGCATTCAGTTTTCTGGCCAGGATCCGAAGGCGTATAGATGGCGATTATTCGAGAATTTAGCTGTTGTTCGTCACAGAAATTGTCTACAATATGCATACTTAAGTGTATGCCTTGAAGCTATCCAGACTGAGATATCGGCTTCTCCACACGGGTAGCCGCTGCGGTCATTCTGTGACTCATAAATTTCTTTTAAAGATGTCATGCCAAACCTTTGCTCAATTCTGTAAGCGTAATGCTAATGCATCCTACTAGCAGTTTTTGCAGAAACATGCAGCTGTTCAGTGCGCAGAAAATCAAAATGTGCTATATTCGGGACTTTGAGGCGTACTGAAAAAATGTCGAAAAAACTGGCAATTTTGAATTCTTATTTTTTCCTTTTCGCATACTTTTTTCTCCAAACCTCTTCCGTGACATTTTGTACTACTAGCTTACAGCTATAAGCATGCAACTTATCATCTAAACTAGTTAACTTTGAGAGAAGTTATCATTTGTCAAAGACAAGGTTTCAGTAAAAAACCTTTCTTGTTTTTTAATTTTCTGCCCGTTTGTGATATGACTACAATCAAATCTGCTTTGCATTCTAAAAGAGTTGCTACTTCTGATGGTCTTTACCGCATCCAGAAATATGGATCTTTTAAGAACTTATAGCAGGTCAAAGTGAGAATTTGCAAATCGGCCATTATTTTTCCATCAACCTAATACAAACTAGCTTTTTGTAGCCTTTGTAGCTTAAGCCTTTGAGCCAATGACATTCCCGGCTCTCCATAAGCGTTTAGCACATTCAATCCCTGGGGCGGTATACATCAATCTCCCGTTTTGATGGCGGGCCATCATTTGTAATAGAAAATGATCGCCCGGCCGGGGTGGGCGCCCGACCGTGATGTCTGATTTCTATTGAAAATGATCGCCCGTTTTCAGAACGGGAGATTGATGCGTACCGTTCCCGGTCAAAGATTGCAAAGATGTTCTTTACAAAATGTTAAGCGCGTGCCCGAGGGAAGATCGCAGTGTTAAACAAAAGCTAACATTTTTAACACATTTCTTGCAGGTGCTACTTTCAATGTGGTATTTTTCAACGTGTGCTCAATGTCTTATCATAGCATACCTTGTCCCAGCATTGAAGATCTCTCGGAGGCTACCATAGAACGTGTTGCCGAGATGATTGGCCATACGGGTAAGTTATCGAATACGGTATCTTTGAGTGTTCAATAGGTGGACTTCAACATAGGACATGGACTACTAATGTGGAGAGGTGATATCGACACGCTAGTAAGAAATTCACAAGTTATTCTTGTGACGGTGCATGAATGGATTAAAGGCATCGTCCACTCTTAGTTAGGGGTCTTGAGCTTTTGGCAGCTTATGATAGTAGGTTCCCTATTAAGCCGATGTCCAAGTCGCGGCGCAAATTGCCACTTCGGAAGTAAGAAATCCCTTCGAAATAAGGAAGAGGCATGAGTACCCCAAGTTGGCACGCCCCGTCCATTAATGCCCGCCCATCGTGCGCGCCCATCCAATCAACATTCCGGAAAGCCGGCCTGTTGGTTCTCTGGAAAAAGAATTGCTGAGGTTTTCGCGGATTCTCGACTTCATATTCGGAATCGGGGACATGAGAAGGCCCCGGAACGAGGGCAATACGTTGAAGCGAGAATCTGGACGGACGGTGCCTCCAATGGGCAGAGGTAAAAATGGAAACTAAGTTGTGCTTGTTGAATCAAACCATTTTCTGACTCCTGATTATGAAAGCGTTCACTGCCCTTCATGCGAGGCTGCTATTGGGGCAAAATAAAATACTCGCCTAACGAGCAGAGAAGAAGAGGCTTCAGGACGAAAGTGTGGACAGATGGACATTGGTGAAAAGACTTTGCCATTGCCATTGTTGACTTTTATGATTTCCCGCGTGATCCTCAGCGGCGTAGGTGCTCGATTTAGGCGAGTTTTCTTCCTCAAAGGGACGCGCGTCGTTGCTATTTCGGCTAACAAAAAGAGAGGAGGAGTTTTGGAAGCAGAATGTTGCTATACACTAAACTTCAGTTGTAGAATAGATTTATGTAAAAATTCTGAAAAACTTATGTGAAGTGGAAGTTTTGCCTACCTCCGGTGGGCTACCTAATATCGAAAAAAATTAAACACGCTCTTCATCCATTCCATAATTATTCATACTTTGTTCCTTAGTCCAACTGCGCGCACACGCTGTACTTTTCAATACTCAATTTTTTTTTCTCGTATGAACAAGTAGCTGAGTGTACTCGAAAATTGAATATATCAAATAATCAAATTTCGAATATTTTTGAAAACAAAAAAATGTCGAATATCATACCGAATATTTTCGTAATAGAAAAAATTTCGAATAACCGAGTATCGAATATTTTCGAAGTAAGGAATTTTGAACAAATGTATCAACTATGTCGAATAGAACAAAAATCTGGTCGGATTAGCACAGTGAAGGACTGCATGCGGTAGCAACCTAAACAAACGATATTTGCTGATATATAGTCGTCCTCACCCCACTAGTCGCTAGATGGGCAAATTCGTATTTTGAATTTGAGCATGCCGATTGCGATAGAGCGCGGCACCTTCAGCTTTTAGCTCCATGGAAGTGGCTTTTTCTTTGTTTTTCCTTGTCATTATATGCTCTTTCATGTGTTAGCATTGTATGAGTTTGAAATTGATGGTTTTGTTGTTTTGAGCAATACCATTGGACTCGTTTCCTCAACTCTAATTTCAGGTAAGCCTATATAAACGAGGCTGATGGGGATTTTCTGACGTAAAAAGCACTAAAGCAACACTTTAGCATATAATACTTATCCGGATAGAAGTTACGAGCAAAAATGCCAAATTCCAGTCGCACACCTGAAAACAGAGTTGAAAAAAAAAGAGCATAGAGTATGAAACATTGTCTTAACTACAGCAAAGTCTCCAACGAACAATGTTAACACACAGAAAGTAGAAAAAAACTGCGAAAATCAAAAGGAAAGTATGAAAGTAAGTAAGTAAATCAAAAGTAAGTATAAAACACGAGTTTTTTTGACATCTGCTAGTTTCTCTATCAAACAGATGAAGTCTTCGTACGCGGCGAAACAGACTCGTAGGAAAGCGTAGGCTTGAAATGCAGGCTGAAGAGGCCGCGCAACTACCGCAACCAGCGAGCCCAATGATTCGAGTTTGCCCACCTAGCAACCAGTGAGGAGAGGGCGACTATACCAATAATAGTCAATAATTTGAGCACATTTGTTGCGTTTAGCCCCTCCCCCCCCCCCCCTTCAACTTTTGCAAAGAACCCTTCCAAGATATAAAAGGCAGGTTTGAAAAACAAAGGTTTAACGAAAGGCTCGCGCGCTTTTGAATCCCTTAATTGAGTATTTCCTTCATGAAGCTTCAATCCAATAAATTCGTTTCTGACTGATTTCGCAATCACATGCAACCTACGGTGTGAACCAGACTTCGCTGCGTACGCGGCATGCTCCGCGCAGTCTGGCCCAACCCTGCAGTCGCAATCGTATGAAAACAACGTCTTGGCGAGACCGACTTGTAATGGAATGACGTGTAAATGCAGGAAGCAAGTGGAAGAGGAAAGGGTGCTAAGGATCCAAGCAATTCGAGTCATACAATTATCACGACATTGTCGAATAACCGAATCACTATTAAAATAAATATTCAAATGTTCGAAAATATTCGAAAAACAAAAAGTTCGATTAACCGAATATTCGAATAAACTTCAAAATAATAAATTTTGAAGTAGTAAATTGGAAATCTCGAATGTATTTCGAGATTTCCAATTTCTCGAATAGTCGAATTTCGAATAATTTTTATTCCGATACTGTACCCGAATAATCGCATATTTATTCGATTCCGTCCAAAGTATGGTACTCACACTAATTCGTGCCATATCGTCATCTGTGCGTTGCAAAGAGCCATTTTATTAGTTTTTATCAATGGAAATTTTCAGAGAAATTGCCACAACTTTCAATCACATAATTTCTCCACAGTACCCTTCACTATGCTTCTCCTATCCATGTCCATTTTTACTCCAATTTTTCAGTCATATCGTTACTTGTGCACTAAACCGAGACGTATTACAATTCAGTGAATAATTGGATTTCTGAAGATGATGGCTCGGCAGGCTCGTGTTGCATGTAGTCGTGTAGCAACTTGTGAGAGTTTATGTACATCTAGACGTATATTCACGACATCCTCTTTGCTTTCCATCTAAGACGGCTTCCATTTGACATTTGCTTAACTTCTGCCAGACCTTGCTCTTCATGTTGTGGAAGACATCAGTAAGGGTTGGTAATCAATGTGCGAAATAATAGCTTTGTTCCGTCCATTGGTCTCAAACGAAGCTCTGTTTGGCGGTGGCTTTGCCACAGCTTAAGTTATATCCAATATCTGCAGCTCTCTAGCAATGGTCTTTTTGACTTCTGATAATGTTATCATCCTGTCAAAGTATTCAAAAGTGGATTTTTCCAATCTATAAAGAAGTCTATGAAAATCGCTTCATAGAGCATACATACACACATACATTACGAAATTCGACTCCAGATTACGAAGTTCGATTTCTATCCCATACATTCTATCGGGCCGAACGGAAAGTGTTGGGGTAGCTCGGTTTTCAAAACGCTGTAAGATTTGTTGTTTCGATCAAAAAAGCGGGCCGCAACTCAAACTTCACCATAACTGACCTCGCCATTAGCCTTAACACTCCTCTTTCACAAAAGTTGACGGTTCGGAGACGATAAAGTTCTTGTCTCTCGACTTTGCGCTACCATATCATGAAGCCATGAAGCACATACCATTCGGAGCTCTTCACGTTTTCCTCAATAGTCAACAAGTAAATAGAAGTTCTTTCTTTCCAGGTTAAAAGAGATAAACTATTATTTGACGCAATTAAAAAACAAAAAAAATGATGCTTTTGCTTATATTCTCTCAAAACGGACGGATGTTGAAGTGACATAATTGGACAGAGCGTAGAGGGTTTTATCAGAAGCTAATAGAATTTGCTGAGAACTGATTAGCACGTATATCTGTTCCCGAGCTACTGACCATATCTTGATTGAGCGTTGATAAGCGAGTATTAACCGTACGTTTGACTGTCCGGTCACTCATTGCACCATAGTACTTTGGATGGTCTCAAATGTTTTACTACGTAGATACTGCTCAATGGTTATTTGCTTGAAGTGCTCACTTTGCATCTCAGCAAGTATAAAAACTAGTAAACATTCGAATAAAATCATGGTGATGCACGAGTATAAGTTCTGACATTTACCAAGATTGGATCATTAATATATCTCCTTGGAAGATCTGCAGTCATTTTTTAAGTCCTCTCATTTTCGTTCACTCAGATGTCTGAATTTGATTTAGGTGCTTTCGTGATCAATTTGATGACAAATGGTGTGGATGCCACTGCAGTCTATGAGCAGGTCATTCTCAAAGTTAATCACACGTACTAAAATGAAGTGACTGGGCCACACGTCTGATGAAGAGATCAACTGAACAGCACGTCTAAAATTTGTTTTCGCTTTAAGGTGCTTGAAGCATGTGTATTGAGTTCAAAAGTTTGTTAGCACTAATTTTGAGAAACGTAAAATCTTTTTAGTGGATTTTTGCTTAGAATTAATCCAAAAAAGAGATCAAGTATGTTTCATCACCTTGACGTCTTTTTTCGAAGCTGTACTAGCAGAGATAAATATGAACGAAGAAGATCACTCAGAATTCTATCGGTCAACAATGGAACGAAAACTGCAAATGTGACTTGTTCCTAACGGTATAAAGAAATGTGTCGAAAGTTTATGGGCGAACCAATTGATTTTACCTCTTTCATCGCAAAGGCGAAATTCAGACTTTCGATAGAATCTTATATATAAAGCTGAATGTCTGTTTGTCTGTCTGTATGTCTGTCTGTCTGTATGTATGTCTGTCTTGTCTGTCTGTCTGTCTGTACGTATGTTCCGAATAGAAAATTCCATTTCTGAACCGATCGGGACCAAACTTGGCACACATACACTTCGGGCCCCGGCGGGTGTCACAGTCCACTTTTCGTCATCGATCGATGTCGATTTTATCGATTTTTTGCAAAATTGGAGCTACAGGGCTGGGAGTTGGCACAGGGGGTAATCGAGCATGCTGATCACCCCCGTGGGGGCGATCAGCATGTTCGATTACACCCCCCTGCCAAATTCCAGCCCCCTAGCTCAAATTTTGCAAAAAACCGATAAAATCGACATCGATCGATGACGAAAAGTGGACTGTGACACCCGCCGGGGCCCGAAGTGTATGTGTGCCAAGTTTGGTCCCGATCGGTTCAGAAATGGAATTTTCTATTCGGAACATACGGCGGAGCCGGGTAAGCCAGCTAGTACATTTATAAAGATTGCCTAGTAAGGAAGGCTAGGGGCGGTATATCAATCTCCCCTTCGGGAAAATGCTCCCACACACGTCGTAATCCAGTCAGACGCGGGCGCCCAAGGCTCATAGTGCGTGAACATGGGCGGAACGTGCACGAGTCCGTTAAGGCAGAATCGGGTGGATCTGCAATGCCTGAATATACCCAATCTCGTTGTCTCACACAACCTATACAACGAGATTGGGTATATTGGCTTTCTCTTTGACCAGGTGACGCAAATTGTTAGCGATGCAAACGATTCAATCACTGGTAAGTAGTAATTGTTATGTTGAAGAGATTTGTCTCTGATGTGGCATTCAATTCAATCTATCTGTGAGACTTACAAGAGATTCAGAGCTTGGGCTGGAGAAATCGGGCTCGGAAACTTGCAAATTTCGTAATCAAATCAAATCAAATGTCAAATCAGACAAATCTCTTGCAACATAACAATTATTAAATCTTACTCAATAACTAGTGACTGAATCGTTCGATTTGCTAACGTTTTCGAGCTCCTATTCGCATAGACTCCTTTTCTCACACAATTTATACAACGTGATGGGCAGGTGTCCAAGCACCTACCCGATACCCGACCAGGCTCTTGCACGGTCAGGCGTCCACGTTCGCGCATCGGCCTTCGGCGCCCGGATTTGACTGGATTACGACTTGTACGGGAGCACCTACCCGAACGAGAGACTCTATAGATATATACCGCCCAGATCACATGACTTTTGATACCTAGAATTACAGAAGTTATAACTCAAAAAACCTACTTGAAATCATCGAAGTTTGAGCTGATTCTTTCTTCCCTTTTGCCTCTGCAGATAGAACTTGCTAGAGAGACGTTGTTTAACCTATATTACATCCTTTTTTAGCAGAAACATCGCCTTGAGCGACACTTCAACTGCATACTCCTGAAGTCGAAAGCGACGTATAACAGCGTAAGTTTAACTCTTACAATGGAAGTACTTTGGTCGAAGTGGCCGCCTGGGCACATAAAGTGCGGTTCATAATTATACGAACACCCAAAATTTTGTAAATTTTTGGACTTTTTGGGAGAAACTCAAAAGCCGTTGGTACCACGCGATAGAACACAGCCGAAAACGGTATATGATCCATAAGAATGGAAATCGATGTCAATTGTAGGGGTATTTTTGCGGCTAATGCGAATATTTAGCGGTTCATAATTACACGAACACCTCAATCAAAGGTCTATTTTTCATTCAAGATTGCAATAATTTAAGTCCAAATTTTTTGTAGAGTTACAGTAACAAAGTCTGACATATCTGCAACACACTGAACCCAGTGCAGTTCAAAAAGAGGACCGTTATTTTTTCAAAAGGCCTTAAATGCTTTTGGAGTGATTGCGCTTCGAAAACATCCGTTCTTCTGGGGTTTACGCGCTCTAGTTAGCTTCTACCAAAGCCATGAGATGAAATAAGCTCTTGCAATAGGTATTTTGTTTGACGCTTGGAAAATCTTTGCGTTTTCGTGCCGTTTTTCAACCAAGTTCCAACCTTACCACAGAGTTAGCACGATTTCGAGCCTCAAAACTCAGCTTCTGAAACCGTACGATGAAGCAAGCATATAGCATGTAGAAGTTCACAAGACTGTTTATTTGGCTAGGAAAAATCAGCAGCGTTGAGCGTTTGTTTTGGCCACGCAGACGTCATTTCACCAAAAACACTGTTTTTACTATTGTAAGCACACCTTTATTTGGTTTGTAGCTCCACAGCCGCAAGATCAGTTCTATAGGGGCCTGCAGGATCGCGAGAGTCGGACGTGCGTACGGCCATTGCGCCGCGCACGTCGTATGTCACTGGGTCGTACTCGATTTAGGCTGGATAGGTGGGATTTTTTTGTTTTTCTTCTCATTTCTCGCCTTCTTTTCTTTTCAGGCGGCGAACATATGTTGGTGCAGAGGAGTTTAAGATCTAGATTAAGGTGAGGTGCAGGATTATGCTCAATACGGGCCAATATTGTGGACTTTTCACCCCTGCTTTAAAGAATGTTGAGTTTTCTGTTCTGGCTGTCCGATTATGTTCGATTTTTCGTCCTGCCTGCCCGGTTACGAAACTCCGTTTTATTTGCAACGTCTGTTCTACCTCATCTTGCATCATGCGCGTCATCACAATCATAATCATTGTCATCATCATCATCATCATCACAAGCAATATGCAAGATAAGGTAGAATAGACGGTAGAAATAGAACAGTTTGCTGTAACAGGGCAGCCAGGACAGAAAATCCAACATCTCAACCAGCAGGCATGGAAGGTCTGCAATATTGAGTCCGTATTGAGCATAATCCTGCACCTCACCTTAATTCAGGTCTTAAACTCCTCCGCACCAACATGTGCTAACCGTCTGAAAAGAATAGAAGGCGTGAAATGTAAAAAAAAGCAAAAAAAACTTACCTATCTAGCCTTAATCGACTACGACCCAGCGATATCAGACGTGCGCGGCGCAAAGGCCGTACGCGCGTCCGACTCTCGCGATCCTGCAGGCCCCTATAGAAAAAACCCAAAAACTTTGGCACAGAAATATCATCATGCAAGCAATGCAGCTGCTTCATATCATATTTTTGCGCAAGAGAGAGAAGCTGAGTTTTGAGGCTCGAAATCGTGCTAACTCTATACTAAGGTTGGAACTTGGTTGAAAAACGGCACGAAAACGCAAAGATTTTCCATGCGTCAAACAAAGTACCTATCGAAAGAGCTCATTTTATCTCATATCTCACATCTCTTCGGTAGAAGCTAATTAGAGCGCGTAAACCACAGAAGAATTGATGTTTCTGGAGCCCAATCTCTCCAAAAGCATTTAGAGCCTTCTGAAAAAAGTAACGGCCCTCGTTTTGAACTGCACTGGGTTCAGTGTGTAGCAGATATGTCAAACTTTGTTACTGTAACTCTTCAAAAAATTTGGACTCAAACGATTACAATCTTGAATGAAAAATAGACCTTTGTTTGAGGTGTTCGTATAATTATGAACCGCTAAAAATTCGCATAAGGCGTAAAAACACTCCTACAATTGACATCGATTTCCATTCTTATAAATCATATACCGTTTTCGGCTGTGTTCTATCGCGTGGTACCAACGGCTTTTTGAGTTTCTCTCAAAAAGTCCGAAAACTTACAAAATTTTGGGTATAAACCGCACTTTATAATGGCATGCTTGTTAGTGGCAGCTAGTCAGTCTGCATTCTGTATGTATCTGCTATGCCTTCAAAAAGAAGTCTAAAAACCTTGATTGTGAGCGCCCCGGTAAGCCCTGACGGTTACCACTCACTGTAAGAGTTTATTAAATCGAGTCCATTCAACCAAGCTGAGAAAAATGATTGCGCAATGCTTACAAGAGCCAAGATGCAGAGCACCAAATATAGGACTTCCGCGCAATAGCCACCCACACTAACCATTTGAACACTTGTTCACAATCAATAGTAACCGGCAGAGCTTACTCTGATGAGAATCTCAGACTTCAGGCTCTCATAACTTTTTAGCGAAGGGCGCACAGCAGATGCAGAACACAGATCTTTGTCTAGTGTCCAGTAACAAACATGGCTATATGCCCCATTGACGACCACTTCGACCAAAAACACTTCTTTTGTTAACTGTTATCTTCTATGAGGAGGTGAAAAACCGTTGAATACCACGAATGCTTGTTGCTTGCAAGTTATCGCTGTCCTATGATTGGCATCTTCTTTTTGATGAATTTGTATGACTAAAGGGTTCCTTCGTATCAATTCAAGATCAAAAATATATATTGGGTTGTCCCATAAGTCTTTTCATTTATGAGTTTTCGCTGTAATAATGTAACATTTCTCATTCTGAATACACATCAGAATACTATTCGATAGAGCAAAGCGAGCTCTATAAGGCGGCGCTTTTGCACCAGCTTCGATCCACCTCAAGTTTAAAACCAAAATTTAAGCAGTTTCGGATGCCCAGAAAATTGAGAAGATTTTGTATCTTCATTTAGAATAGTCCTACAAATTTCTCACTCACTCACGCATATACACTCCACATCAGACACTCATATGTGCTATTGCTGTATTTTTTCATTGGCTAGAAATCAAGAAACCGTAAAATTCCATTTTTTAGCAAAGTGATGGTGCTGTTCTTACACTAACAGTTGTGTACTACACCCTTAGAAGTACAAGCGTACATTTTTAGCTTTTTATGAGCTCTTGTTACCGAATGCTAGGTTAAGCGTAAAAAGCCTGAGTGAGGAAAGCTAAATTCGATACTTCTCGCGAACTAGAGCTCATAGAGAGCTAAAAATCTTTGCTAAAAACATGGAAATTTTCGGTTTCTTGATTTCTAGCTGATAAAAAAGAAGCAACAGCACATGTGCATAAGCGAGTGAGACATCTGCAGGACTTTTCTAAATGAAGATTTTTAAAAAATTTCAATTTTTTGGGCATCCGAAACTTTTTAGGTTTTGGTTTCAAACTTGAGGTGGATTGAAGCTGGTGCAGAGGCATAAATGCCATCTTACAGAGCTCGCTTTGCTCTATTGAGTGGTATTCTGATGTCTACTCAGAATGAGAAATGTTACACTTATCACAGCGAAACCTCAAAAATGAAAAGACTTAAGGGACAACCTAATATATTGCCATGTAGAACGACCATAGCCTGACGTAGACCACTTAGAAATTTCGTAGTTCTAATGATTTAGTGTGGAATTCAGGCACCATTTTGCGAGTCTAAAGCAGAGCTGTTGAACTCTGTCACTTTCAGATTGAAGTTATTTACAGGTACTCTCTTGTTCAAAGAGAATGCTGAATATTAACAGGACCTACGAAATCAACAAATTTCTACGACAATTGACGACAATTTCTATGGGTTGAATATTGGTGACTCTGAACTTAAAAGTCTTACGTCTTCGCACATTCTAATTGGGTTGTAGACCAATTTAGTTGCAAGATTTCTCAAAAAGTCTTATTAGTCATCGCACCGTTATACGCATCTATAAGAGTTCTCCTCCTCTGGAACATTACGATATCGCTTAGGCTTTCTTCGTCGTAAATGCTTATTTTGGCTGTCAATCATGACCTTGTATACTATAATATGATAATAATCTTTACGTCATCGCAATTCAGGGTTTTGCTCATTTACTTCCCGGTGTTACACTTTGTTCTTTATTTATGCGCTCTGTTGTTCATTTCTGATGAAAGTTTTGAAAATGATTATTTCATCAACAATATATCATTCAAGTTTATATACTTATCACTTTCGACATAGGTGGCAGTGGCAAATGTCTTCCATCAAGCATCTTCTGCGCTTATAGGGGTGATAGTACGAGCTATCGAAATGCAAACTAGACACACAATCCTTGAAGGTAGTGTCCAAGCAGTTCCCAACTCCTGATTTCATAAAGAATTTCAAAAAGACGTTCATTTTGTATAAGATTACCTTCAAATTTGAAGATACGGTGTGATGTCGCACGAGAACAAGTATTAGGTTGATGCAAAAATAATGGCCGTTGCATACGCTACCAAAGCATATTGATAAAAAAAAATACGAATCAGGTACCATTCGATAGAATGAAGCAAGCTCTACAAAGTATTTACCAAGAATCTACCTACACCTTAGGTCTACATAAAGTTTGATGCCAAAATCTGTGAGCATTTAGCTAGCTCAAAAATCGGGTCTTCGCTCGGAGAAGTCCTGCAAGTCGCCCAGTTGGTCATCACATAGTAGACACATAGTAACGTTTGTTCATATGCTTGCTAATACTTACTAATTACTAACTACTACTTACTAATTTTTTGTCACTTAGAATCTAAGAAAAGAAACGAAAATCGAAAACCTGCAAACGCCGCCTCTTACTCCGTCCCTTCCCCCCCCCTCCCCAATTTAGGTACAGTGTATCACAAAGCCATCGAAGCATGGCTGTAAAATTTCAGCTTGGTATCTGCCTTGATATCTGAGTAAAATCACTTTTAGCTTTGAAGGCAGCGGCTCGGCAGATTGACCTACCTCAGATTTTGACACAGACGGATAGGAGGCCCTCCAAGTGAACCAAAACAGCAACTCCGCGCCGAAAATATGAACTCTGCAAGCCAGGAGGAGGGGTGAGCGGCCCAAGCGCCGCTCCCCTTTCTCCTTTCGCTCCCCTAACACCTTGTTCGGAGGAGTATTCTCCGCTAGACGGGACGCTCCGCGGGATCCCCCAACCGCTTTCCCACATTGTGCATGCTATACAAAGCCAAAATTACAGGCAGCAGGGTCTTCGTCAGGGCCTCCCGACTTTCCTTTGAAAATTCTCGTCCGAGCTGCCTTTTGAAAATTGAAAAAAACGCCCCGAAAAAGGCCTTTTCACCCATTTCAAAGCTCAGATTCGGGATCTACGGGTCGAGATCCAAAACGTGCAAAAAGATGGAAATGCAAAATCTGCCGGGACGCTGCCTTTGAGAACCCGTATTTACTTACTTACTTACTTAGATACTTAGATGGCCCGTCCTCACGTGACGTGCGGGCCCCAGTACAGAAGTTGCCATTTTCCCTGTCCCTCGCTTCAGACATCCACGATCTTCTTGGCCGTCGTCGGTGGCTGCGTCCACGAGTTCCAGGGGCGAAAGTCATATCCAGCTGATTTCTCAGCTGGTCCATCCGTTCCACGAACACGTCTGCCCATCTCGTCGGTGGTCTTCCTCGAGAACGTTTGGCTTCGCGATGAATCCACTCAGATGTTTTTAGTGTCCATCTGTCGTCTGTTCTTCTCATTATGTGACCGCCCCATCGGTGTTTGGCTTTCGCAACGAATTTCGCTGGGTCACGAAAACGGGACATTCTTCTCATATCCGTGCTGCGAAGTCCGACTAGATGTTGCTTTCGTCGGGTCATCTTCAGAAGACTGCGCTCGAGCGCTCTGTGGGTGGTCCGTAAAGCTTTCGACGTGGCTACAGTGTCGGCCCAAGTCTCAGCTGCGTAACAGAGCGCCGGGAGAAGTTCCTCATGAACTGAGCCTTCTTCCAATTTATTCGCAGTCCGATCTTGCATCGTCTCTGCTTCGGTGATACTGCTCGAGAAGAGAACGATGTCGTCCGCAAAACGAAGGTTGGACAGGAATCTCCCATCAACTCGTATGCCTCTCTCGTCCCAGTCCAGTGACTTCATCACCCACTGCAAGGCCGCGGTGAACAGCTCCGGCGAGATTGTGTAGCCTTGTCGGACCCCCTTCACGATTGGTATGGTCAGGGGGCGATGGAACAGCTGCATCGTTGTTGTACAGTCCTTGTAGCAGTTGGCTAGTGTCCTCACGTAGGTTGGGTCCACTCCTTGATCGACTAGCGCTGACAGGATGGCGTTGGTTTCGACGCTGTCGAAGGCTTTCTCGTAGTCGACGAAGGTTAGGACGAGAGGCAGTCGGTACTCCCGGCAGACTTCTATGACCCTCGAAACGATCTGGATGTGGTCCATGCAGCTCCTTTGCGAAATCCAGCTTGTTCTTGGGGTTGATCTTCATCCAGTGTCCTTGATATGCGAGCGAGGATAATCTTGGTGAAAAGCTTGTACAGCACACTCAGCAGGCATATTGGAAGATAGTTCAGAAGATCCTCCCGTTCACCCTTCTTGAAGAGAAGGACAGTTCTTGACGTTCTCCACTGGTCGGGAATCTTCTCCTTCTGAAGGTAAGATGTCAAATGCGACGCTAGAACCTCGTGTAAACGGTGTCCTCCGGATCGCAGAAGTTCGACGGAAAGATGATCTGGTCCTGGAGCCGTGGACGTCTTCATGGTCTGTATCGCGATACGCACTTCAGCAGGTAGAATTCGTGGTGGTACTTCTCCAGTGGGAACAACGGGCATCTGCACGGGTGTTGATGAGCGGAAGAGGTTGGTATAGAAATTCTTTGCGATAGATTCCATCTTGTATCGGGAAGAAGTCGGAGTCCCGTCTTCGTTCAGTAGTGCAGATATTCACAGAGGTCCCTTCGGCACTTCTTGAGACTTCGTCTTCCTTCGGCTGCTTCCAGTATCTGGACTTGCCTGTACTTCCTGAGATCCTCTTGCAAAGCTGTTCTGTTACTGGCGTTGGCTATCAGTCGCTCGAGATGGGTTGCATTCGGATCCTGCCTCAAATATCTTCATCTTTCCAACAATTCCTTGGTGGTCTTCGAAATGCGTTCCAAGTTCTTCTCAGAAGTCACTGAGGCGCATTCTCCGCAGGCTCGCAATCCTTTCAGAAGCCGGTCGTAGTCGTACGTTGGGTCCTCCTCGATGGGCCAGTCACAACTTGATATGAGCTCTTCCAGCCTGTTACCGTCATAAACGACTTCCTTCCTTCTCGCACTATGACAGACTTTCTTTTCCAGCCTTCGGCTAAGTCGTATCTTCGCTCGAAGGAGGCGGTGATCGGAGCCACTACAGAAAGATGGAACTACAGAGACATCGAGTAAGCTCCACCTTCGGTTGGTGAGAATGTGGTCGATCTCAGCATGAGTCGTTCGTTGGGCGTTTCCCAAGTCCACCAGCGATGTTCTTTCTTCATGAAGATGGAGTTTCCATGGAAGAGTAGTGCGGCGGAGAGAAGCCCAACGAGACGGTTGCCGTTTTCGTTTCGGAGCCCATATCTAAACTTCTCGATCCTATATTCCTTTTCTAGTGGCATCCCGATTTTCGCATTGAAGTTGCCCACAACATACTTGTAGAAGGACTTTTCGTTGCGGACAACCTCCTCCACGTCTTCGTAGAAGGCATCTAGTTCTGAGACGTCAGCTGCTGATGTTGGCGAGTAGCAGTTGATGATGCTGATGGTCTTCTGACGTGGAGGGCGTAGTCGTAGGATGCCTAGTCGAGGTGATAGGATCTCATGCGAATCGACAAGATGGACGATAGATGGATGGACGACAAAGCCAACGCTTCCCACGCGTGATGGAACCTTTTCACCACGAATGATGAGGGTCCCATCACTCATCTGTCGCACGTCCTTCTTCCTGGACTTCGTTTCCTGCAGAGCGATGATGTGGTAGTTGATGTGCTCTGCAGCGTCGAGAAGAGCGTGGAGGTCGGCGTTTGTGGAGACTGTCCTGGCGTTCTAGGTGCAGAGCATGAGGCAGTCTTCATGGCGCGTCGTCCGGGCAGACGTGTCGTTTTTGTCCAATTCGAAAGGCGCCCTGAGTACCCTGATCGTTCTTGCTACCACCCGGCGCCGTAGGCGGGATACGATGTACAGGGTTTCTTTCTAATCTTCTAACTGGGGTAGTAATATGAATTTTCCCCTACAAGAGGTGGCTTACTAGGCTTCCTCTTGATTTCCACGGGGCGATCGCTGACCCCGGGCTTGGAGCGGGGAGAGACCGCCTAGCGACCAAAAGAAGCCAGACGGCGGGGGATCTGGCGCGGCCGGTTCTTAGCTAGGCATCCGGCCGAAACCGGAAACTTCGAACTCCTTCACAGCTTGGGAGGCCCTACAAGAGTATACACTCGGCTGTGCATCGCAGTTCGACACCCAGGCCCGTAGTAATCTACCCTACCAGGTGACATCAAAGATGCCGGCAAGTTCGCGAACCTCGCGGCATGTTCGTGTTTCGGGCACAAGCTACATCTTGCTCTAAACTCTCGTTTTTTGATTAGTTTTTCTCTTTCGTTTAGTTTCACGTTGGTTTAGTTTTTTGCACATGAATTTTTGATGCCGCTGATAGCCGCAAAACAGCGACATCGCGCGTGTCCGAGCCTGCGTGCGTCAACCTCAAGCGACGGCGCACTAACCATTCGACCACTCGTTCAATATTTGCAGTCTGCGGCAGGAATTATAGAAGCGCTGCCCAAATAGTGAGCGCCTGTATGTGAGCATGATCAATACAATGCGCGATGAACATTGACCTGAAAAAACAGCTGATGAT